ATGGCGTTGCATGGAAAGAATGGGACCAAAATGAAAATCTGCAGTGCCCTGCTGCCACTGCATCTGTCTGTACTGTTTGTCCATTGAATTAAAGTGGCTGTAGCTTGTTGATAAAATTGTCATCAGTGCTGTCATGAAAAAGTTACAATTGGTCACAAAAAGTAGCAATGTGCATGTTCTTGGTTTATTTTAAATGTAGTAGAAATGTTGTTGATTTAAATTCAAATTTAATGCTGATACCTAATGATTACAACTGGTCTTAACCATGTCCACAAGTGACAATTCTCAATTGTATTGCACTGTGAGGTGTACAATTATGTAGGATAAGGGTTTCATTGGCTACATGTTGTCGTGAGATCCATACAGATCATAGGTCCTCCACAAATTTTTGCCCGCTGGATCCACAGAGATCATAGATCCGACCCCTAAATTTTGTCGAGAGATCCATTAGGATCATAGATCCAACCCCTGAATTTTGTCGAGAGATCCACTGGGATCATAGATCCAACCCCTCTATTTTGTCGAGAGATCCACTGAGATCATAGATCCAGCTCTCGGATCCATGCACATGTCTGCTTGCAATATCCTCCCAAATCTAGCGATAGGTATTTCCTGTGCCCATGACATCCCCTCACTCTCCGCTGCCACTCTATCGCACATCCGGGACGTCCGCCGCCGGCCACGCCTTTCGCACGTCGCGGCCTTTTGCAGCCGTGGCGCCGTTCGCACTCTCCGTCAGCCTTTCACGCCGCCCGGGCGTCCTTTCACAGCGGCGGTCGCCGGCCGGCCGGCCGCCGCGCCGCCGGGACGGCCGCTATTCAGAAGGACCGGTGCCGGGCGGCGTTTTTGCCCATCGCTCTCGGGCGATGGCATGATGAGAAGTGTGCTGGTCGTGTGGCTGCGCCCCCGGACGGCGGCCGGGCGCCATCCCTGGCGGGCCGTGCGCGCCGTCTGCCCAAGACGGATCGGGCGCGGCGCACCGCCTCTGCCGTCACCGCCTCCGCCCACCGTCCGCCGCCCGCCGCCCACCGCCCACCGCCGGCAGCACGAAAACGTCCAGCCATTTACCGATTGGCCCGGCTGTATGGAGGACGTTTTGGGTGGAGGAGAGAGGGGAGAGGAGGGCAGTGCGGTGATGTGTGGCGGGCGGTGTGACGGCAGGACCGTGGGTGGCACAAACAGCGCTACAGAGGAAGTGGGGAGAGGGAGGAGGAGGAGGAAAGGGAGGAAGTGCGCCGACCGCATCCGCCTCTCGCTCGGCTGAGCTGACAAGGCTCCCGTGCCGCACCACTGCACTCATCCTGTGGCGGGAGCGGACCGCACAGCAGCCGCGCCGTCCGGGAGGGCCGGAGTCCGACCGCGAGCCGCACTGGGGCGGACACCACCCACCGCACCCACATCGCGCCGGAGACAGCGAGAACTGTCCCAGCGACGCTGCTCAATCGCCGTCTGATCAGTCACATGGATACCAAATTAATTGTCCGACATAACTGCTGGCCGTGCTAACGGGTATTGTTGCGCCGATTAATTATCGGTTATCATAGAGGGTGTAAATGATGGCTGGCGTTCATTGCCCAACTCTTACGCAAAGCTGCAGTCAATTAGGGTGATTGATAGACTCACGCTATGTGAGGTAAGTCTTATATAATCATGGCCGGGACGCCCCATTTGGCGCTACATCACAGGCGTTTCTCGTTGCTGATGAATATGAATACCTGACCGCAGCGTCTTATTTAGAAGCGAGCTATGCAGCAAGGAGAAGGACCGAAGAATGTGCCGTTCCATAAAGTATTTTGCATCGTAAAGCTTAAGCACAGCACAAAAAAAGAAGCATGTGTCGCTATCTGTGTTATTTCATCCCTAATCTTCAGAAAAAGCTTTTTCCTGGACTTGATTGGACGGGATTTGATCATTCAGTATGTGTGCAAGAGATCCGCAATAGAAGGGAACTATCTGGGAAGACCTTGATGTGCTCCATCAATGCTTTCCGTGGTCGCTGCTGAAGACGGCACAGACCATATTGGTAGGCGGGTCGGCCAGCTTCATAGCGTTGAAGATCAGACAGGGAGAGTTTCATTGCAGCTTGTGCAAACAGCACTGGGCGAAAGTCGATGAGGCGCGTCTAATAGAGAGTGGCATCACGTTCCTAGGATTCGGGATGACCTCACTTTCACTGAGTCCGATTGGAGATTTGAGGTCTGCCACCTGCCCCCCCCCCCCCCCCTCATGGTGGCGGAGGTCTTGTATCAGCTTATTAGATAGAGTGCGAGTATCTACGCACTATGCAATATGCAGACATTCAGATTCATCAGATTTAATAGCCAGATTTCTCAACGTTGGCCTATGTAGAGCTTCAACCCGAGCTTTAACACTCCAGTATGTCTGGCGACGGATGTTCACAGGCCATCCCAAGCCAATGAGCCGCCATGAACTTCTGCCTCGTGTGTTTTTATTTTTTACCACATGCCGAGATATCCCTTTAACATTAGCACGTGCATTTGGGAAATGGCTTCGGCCCGCCTCGGCTAATGTTGAAGGTATTTGGGAAACGATTCGGCCCTAGGGCTTTTTGATTTTCCCAGACAAAGTTTTACTGAATATTCTGAGCGGAAGAACCAATTTCAAAGAAGATATTTACGGATTGTGTGTTCACTAACAGCAACAGCAAAAGTAAGTGACTGCGTGTTTACATACTTTTGCTGTCAACGTAATTTAACTAAACAAGGTTATCGTTCCAATGCCAATGTATTTATTGCTGCAGAACATGGTCGGATCATTGAATAATCATTATTTCTGCATAATGCACGCAAAAAACGAACAATTTAAATGCGTGAAGCATCTTAACGTGCCACAATGGAACATTTGATATTGTTCTAGCTGGGATCCAAGACGCGTTTGATTCAGCGTTTCACCCAATTTTTAGTTTTCCTCACGGTTTCCTCACTCCTGCTGGACTCCATATCTTTATTCTAACTTCTGGCGTTTCACCATCTTCATCCTCAGCTTTTTCAAACCCTAAATAAGGAGGAAGTAGGAATTTCATCTTTCATACTCAACGCAGCCTAATAATGAAAAACACAAACAAATAATCACGGTGACTATAAATATGAACATAGTAATAATATAATATTAACGCAATATTAAGATTAAAGTGTAAAATATCAAATGAATATGATATTAACTGTTGCGCCTGGTTGCGCCGGTACGGCATGTGGTAAATCTCTTCCCAACCTTGGGCTGTGAAAATGCAGTTTTATTCACCTCGGTTTTTTGCTACGGACCTCGTGCCTACCGGCACTCGGTCCTCCGCACAAAAACCTCGGTGAATAAAACGCATTTTCCCAGCCCCGGTCGGGAATATATAATTGCTTTCGGTGAAATCATTGGTCTTCAGTGATGACGCTAGAGGTTTAGAATATAGACAAGGGGCCTAGACAGCCGGTACTATTATTATCGACTATGGCTTTCGTCGTTTAGACCAATTTAAGGCAACTATCGATTAAAAGGGCGCGTCCGCACCAGTGGTATCCCAGCGCGACATGATCTACCTCCGTGTCCCAGAAACCGACTGCCGATAAACTGCTGCACGCTTTCGTTTTCTTTGAACAGCACGTGCTTTCCAGCATGCATTTAATGGTCATTTTATGGAGCTGCAACACATTAAGCGATTTGTAAATCCATGAATTATGTAGTTTATGACAAGACTATATCAGATGACGGACAGGGATACGTCGCGCTGCAAATGCGCGACGCCAGGTCTAGACTATCCAATATAATGCCGGAGGGTATCCATTTTCATCCGAAACAATAATCAAATAAACTGCACACTTGGTCGGCCCGCCGAGGTTTTCAGAGAGCGGAAATTAGCGGACGGTTGCGGGACGAGCCCGCCTCCCCTCGCCGGCGCTTGGCCAGCGGTTCTGTGTCATATTGCGGCGCACCTCCGGGATGCCAACCGGCTCTCAGTCGTCACTTTGATGACATTCCGAGCTCCGCCGGCCGGCGGGGTCCGGTATTCTCATCTCGGCTCGCAGATAGTTGACGGCTAGGGGAGTTCAGTCTCTCCTCTGCTCGAGTGTGGAAACAGTGATACACTTACTCGTGTTTTTCATCCGAGTGATACAGTTTTATTGTTCTTTTTTTTTTTGCTGGGACTTTCTCAGCGCAATGGCCACGTCGTTGGCGTGAGACCTCTGAGCCTCAGTTGGTCTCTAACAGAGCTTACATAACATCCAGAACATCCTAAAATCAAATACCTAAGCGATGTGGCGATGCGATGGTATGGAAGGACTGATTCTGGAATAACTATGCTAGTGTACCATTGATGTCATTTTAATAAATGAGTGTGACCATTTCCATGTGCGGATTGGCCAGCTAGCCATTGTTGCGGAAGTTTCATATGTTTCGAATCTCGCACATCTGTATACTTTACCACCGCCTTCCACCTAGTTAAATTCCTTACCATCCCTGAATTATGTAGTAAGGTGAGCCGTGATCTGTCACAGCGTTTTATGCACTCCAACCTCCTGTGTACCGAGTGACGCGTATCATATTTGCACTTCTGAAGAACATTCTAGCCGTTTCAAACGCGTTGTTGTCTTTGACAATCTAGCTTGAAGCGTGTTTAGATCGCATTGCCAGGCCCACAGAGCGAGGCTTACCTGCATATTAGTCTAGTGGACTGTTTGGCACGAAAGCGAGTGGATGATTAATGAACTCGCCGATTAGCCTGAGCGCATCGGTGCCAACCACGAGCCGTATGTCACAACACTCTAATTATACCGCGGTGGGGACATGATTAAGAGGCCGTGATAGCTGTTGGATGTCCTCACTCTGCAGTCATTTATAGTTGATTAATGTGTGATCAAACGGAGCCGACCACATAAATGTCGTCTGTGGTGTTCGTATTGACCTGACTGGTGATACGGCTAACGGCTGACTATGTATAGTCGGCGGTGATCTACCTCCCGGCTAATAATTCCATTCCTGCTCTGTTTCAGAATATCGCTGACGCTGTCGTGCCCTATGGACCTGAAACTGTATCCGCTCGACAAACAGACGTGCTCGCTGAAAATGGCTAGCTGTGAGTACCTACTTACCCGGCGGCGAGACAGCGAGCGCGGCGACGTGGCGACTGAAATCTACCTGGGCGGGGTTCGCGGAAGCCGCGTGACCGGCACTGCTGAGTTAGGATTAACCAGAGAGGTTCTCTTAGTACTGGGGCTCGTTAAACTCTGCTCGGTCTCGGTGTATTGAAGTCCGTTACCTCTTCTCTCGTGAGTCGGTCCTTGGAACTGGCTCGTCAGGGGAGCGGCGGCAGTACCGGTAAAGTTTGACGCTCAGCCCTCGGCGCTCAGTGCTCGTGGCTAGATGGTGGCAATTCGCTAGGGACATAAACTGCAATGAGCCCGGCTGTTGATGGCGCAACCATCCCTTTCAGACGCCTGGAAAACGGACGATCTGATATTCGTGTGGAAGGAGGGTGACCCGGTGCAGATTGACGACGGCCTCCACCTGCCGCGGTTCACGCTGGAAAAGTTCCAGACGGCCTACTGCAACAGCAAGACAAACACAGGTGAGACTGGACCGCGCCGACCGGGCGCGGCTCGTCAGCTCGGCCCCCGCCGGCCCGCCCGGCCGTGGCGTGTCGAGAATTATTAATGGTGCGCCAGAAAGTCGTGCGCCCAACAGGCCAAGATGAGCCCGTTTGGAGCATCATCAGTCGATGTCACCGTCTTTGAGTGCGGAGGACGGTAGGGAGGGAATGCTTTGTTATAAGGAGAGGGAAAGATGATAGCTTATTTTTCTCATTTTGAAGAGGAAGGCGAGTCGTGAGGATAGATTAACACAGGCGGAACGTGTACGGCTGAAGTTTCTCTAGCCTGAGGTATGAAGCCTGTGGAGGTTATGTCTGCAAGGAGCACCACCCCTGCGGCGGCGTCAATGCCGACGTTGGCCGGCTGTCGCCGCCGCCGCTGATGGCTGGCACCTGCCGACCCTATTGGAAACGACGGCAGCGCGCCGCCTCCACCGCCGCTCCCGCCGCCGTCCGAATTCTGCCCGCCCGAGTCATTATACGGAAGATGAATGGGCTTGTTTCGTAGTCGGGAGGTCGGGCCCAGCGCTCCGGGAAGTTTGCAACCGTATTGATCCCAAAGGCTTCAATTAGGCGTGGCTGCATCAAATCATGCCCGACGAACAAATTCACCACCAAACCGGTCTCTTTTGATGTCTTTTCTCTTGCATGCTCTGACTACACTCAAGTGTAAAATTTCAACAAAAGATTTCATTTATTTAGGCTGGATTACGATGATGCTCCAATAAGTAGATATCATTTGGTTCAAAGTTAAAGCTTACCGTCGTTTCATTTTATTTGTATGCGGCACCTACCTCATTCGAGTTCTATCAATAGCATTTAAATTCACATTTCTTGGAGCTTTATTACACCAGGAATCAGGCTGTGTGATTCTGCTAAGTGCTAGCCGCCGTGACTTTGATATCGCCTTAGATCATAATCACCTTCCGGTGTTCATAACTGGCGTTTAATCACCGGACGTGGATTAGGGGCGGCGGCAGAGAGCGCCGTCTCACATTTGGCGCTGACTGAGAGCGCGGAGTGGTCGCTCGCGGGCCTGGTGGCGTTAGTGGCCACGCTCGACGAACAGATCACGCTCGTTGGAGGTGACGTAAAGCGGACTCGTGATTAGTTAGTGGATCGGACTTGACCTGGCTGGGATTGAACATGACGATGAACAAACCTTAACTGGTCATACTGGGTCCATCGAGCATGTTCTTCAGTGCTTTCTAACCAAAATCTGACCATCTGACCAAAATGGGATAGGTATGGGTTAAATATTGATGCAGTGCTCCTATTTTGAGTGCTTATTTAATTCTGTCATATCGATTTAATGCCACAAAACCTACACACTCATGCATAGGTACAGTAGGTCTACTAAAAAAGTCCCCCGCTCCAGCGGCGGCCGGCCGGCCGAACCCCCGGATTCCAGCCCCGACTCTATTGCGCAGGCCGCGGCAGTGACACGGGTCAGGTCGCGGCGCCCGGCGAGTGGGTCAGTTGGCGGCGGCCGGCCGTGGAGTGAGGACGCCGCGTGTGGGGCGCAGAGATGCCGCAGTGCAGAGGAGGGGAAGATAGTGACTCTGCACGATGCCGGAAACGATGCCTTTGTGATCTAAATGAAACACCTGCACTGCAGTGCATATCCTCCCTTGCCCCATTCCTATTATATCATAATCCTTCAATAATCCGTAATGACCATTCAACGCAAGCAAGCAAACAAAGCAACCCGTTTAGTGGCGACATCATCTCGGATAAAAAAAGCGACAGTGATGATTAGAATTGACTTTGCGCGAGGGCAAATCAAGGGGTATATATGTATCGTACCTATGCCGAGTATTTTATTCCCATCTAGCAAATTAAGATTGGGGATCTTGTCCAACAAGTCAGCGGCCGTTCTAGACACAGATAAATGCTTTGTTTTCGGTCGCATCTGCAATAATTCGAAGCGAGGTATAACCCTCGCCGGCCGAGAAGAAGGGGTGGGTGCCGCCACCACGTATTTTTTCGGTAGCTCAAAGCACACTGAATACTGATGATAGAAGGCTGACATTTCATATGCCTTACATTTGACTCAAGCCGGATCATTTGAAATCAACCACGTTTTCATGTCAGGTCACTTAACTATGACGTCTTAAGTAAACCTCTGCAGACTGCACAGTTGTCAGTTATAAAATGATGCAAATCCGTAATGCACTTAGTGTCATATAAGCATAATGGGAAAATATGGAAACTGTTAATTTGGCGTCGGAAATGAGCTAAAACTATACCTCACGCACATGAAATCGTGACTTCATACATTCTTGGCAAGGTTTAATGCTTCACTTTTGCATTGTTCACCTTGCGTGACGGAGTGCTCGTCAATAGGAGTGCTCGTCAATAACTCCCGATCAAAATGAGCTAGCCAGTCGGGAGTGGGACAGCCATCAATGGACTCTGCAAGACTGGTCGAATCAAATGTTGTGCAGCATGTCCTCCTTTCAACAGCTTCGTGACCTGTGTTGCCCTAACATGACATTGACCTAACATCCTAAATTGCTTCACCTAAGCAAAAAAAGCATATAAATCGACGCGTCTGAGAACAGAAAACACGATTGTATCGAAATGACGACAATGCGACCTTTTTGCGAAGTTATTCACCAAAAACCGATCCAATGCCTTGGGGCCCTTAACCTGCCCTTAGAGGTCACTGATATTTTAAAATGGGGTGACAGTCGCTGCGTCACGTAACGACGCAAGCGCTCGTTTTTTTTTTCCGCGAGGCTCTAGCAATTAGCTCAATTATAGGAGCTAAACATGGGGTTGGGGAATCGCTCCCTTCTCACTCACTATTTGGCCGGGATAGTGTTTGCAATTATTGAATCTATCATTTTAAGATTTCAAATGATCCATTTTTCCCGCCCAAGTCTTTCAATTCAAGGTCATAACACCAGGTCACGTCAAGTGACCTTACCTCAAGGAAAGTTCCTGTGCTCATCATATCTAAATACATCGACTAACCGATCACTTTAAAACCTTCAGTGATTTCAATGGGCAACAGTAGGTATATGTATTTGAAACGTTTACTTTGCAAGTTTGACATTGCTGACAGAAAGGTGGGTCAATTTTGAGATCGCTTAAGTCAATGGGAGAAAGTTGAACTGCGCTTTTTTAGGACGGAACGCATGATAAACACTCTGAAAACATGTGGTGCCTGATGAGATACAATACTGAATGAGAAAATTGTTTGTTTTGTTGGGAGCCATCTTTTTCGGTCTGAGAAGGCCCTTGCAGAGCTATGACATAACTATGCTCTGGTGTAGTAATTTGGTTGTGCGAGCCAGCGACAGTGATCTGCGGACTCCGGAAGCGTGACTGTTCCCGTGGGACGATTGCCCTGTCGGGCGGTCCAGCCGTCTCCCCAACGGTCACCCGAAGAGGGTTATGTGTCTTGGAATGGAACCGACATCAACTACAGGTTGGCTGGTGGGGTGACCTCCAGTCCAGAGAGGGAAGCATGAAGACTAGGGGCGATGCGGATTGGTTTTTCCTGAGGATAGCGAGGACGGAAGAAATCTAGCACCCTTGACCCTTCCTTATAATGAATGTATCTCAGGCTGTTAAATCTCCTAAGCGTTTTTTTTTTCTCGACATGGTCAAGGTGTCATTATTAAAAATATGAAGTCCGGAAGGATAAATTAAATATAGAAATTGTGGCCAACAGAACATTATCAGTTGCGTTCAACATACTCGTAAGCATGATCACACACCCAGCTTACACATGAGCCATGTAATAAATATTTTTGATAGACATGTTATGAAATCATCTAAAGTGTTTGTAAAGTTTCACGATACGGATCTAATATCCTGCTATCCATCATGACCATTTCTGGTCAGGTCATGTCTTTGAACATAGGCCAAATTCTTCAAATGACCGATGCAACCCCCCCCCCCCCAAGGTTTTTCGCGAATAACTCGCGTAAAAAGCGGCCGATGGCGACGAAACTTTCAGTATCCTCGCATTGATAAATTTTACACCTACCCTGAAAATTCCATGACCCTGACCCAAATGACCTTTGACCATCTGAATCACCTGAAGATCAGGTCAGGTCATTGACCTTTGGTGACCTCGGCTCACTTTTTCGAGTTTTACATTTTTCTACGCTAGTTTTTGGAGCTGAATTCGAATTTAGCAACCATTTGAACATTAACAAAGTAGTTTTGGTGCCTTCGTATCATGTTACGAAGCTGTCAGAGGCGGATGACACGTATTACGAATACCCGTCGTGACCCCTACCGGTTGACCTGACCTGACCTAACCCGACCTGATCTAAATGCTTTAAGACATCATCTCTGATCAAAACTAACACGATATTCGTGATCAGCACCCCGAAAAACCCCATAGCAGCCACACTTTACGACTTTCTAACAGGTCCCGATTTTCCCGATTTTCGGGTCATTGACCTGACCTGGAAGGTCACCCGATGACCTAGGACCAAAATTGGGTATCATCGGCTTCCTCTCGTGACGGGCAACACGCTCGTTTTTTCCGCGAAGCTCTAGCTCAATCAGGGGCCAAGCGCGAGGGGGGTCGTGCCACCCCTCCCCCCTTGTGCCGTCGAAGGAAAATAAAAAAAATAGCAAAATAGCCTGTGCCGGCGAGGGTTAAAGATCAACTTTTGATTCGTTCGAAGCGTTTTGATAAGAGGAACACGAGGCTGGTAAAATTAATTTCATGCAAGTTTAGCTTAAAACTTTTAGTGTTTGTGGAAAAGCAATTGGTTTTCTCATAATACCGATGGTGGCAGTTGCTGTTATTTACGTGCTAAGCTGTTGACCTTAATTAAATCTGACAATATTATTCAGACATAGCGGTAAACGAGCTGCTTGTTGTGTTAGGTTAGGCTCTTTCGGTCGATTTCAGAATGGGAAGGATGACAGGAATTAGGGGGAGACAGGGGGCCTGGGCGGGAGTCATGAGCCTCATGCTCCGCTGGAGCCGAGCCCATCACGTGAGTTGGATTGCCCTGACACATGGATAGCCATGGGCGGTGTTTCACGGTCCCGCGCTGCAGCACGCTGCGCTGCGCTGCCATGCATTGTAGCGGCGCGGCGGTTGATGTGAATTCGGCTCCACGCTAGCGTTACGAGCTTCCGAGTCTGTTGATGTTTCCATGGAAATTGGAAACCCAATGCACCGGTGCGCACAACGCACCCTGTCCAAGCAAAATTTTACCATCGATGACCTCTGGTGACATGACCTTTTGCTCTGAACCGATCTAAAATTGGCTGAAGTATTTTTTCTTCTTTTTTTCTACTTTCGACGCTACTTCGAATACCACTTAAATGCCCAAATTAGAAGAGTCAGACATTTTGTTTTTCTCACAGACAATGACAATACAAAAACAATGCAATAAGACCAGACGTTTCGACAACAAAGTGCCTTCGTCAGTGGAAAACAAGATATAGGCTTTACATCGATTATTTTTTTATATTTCTTATTTTGTATATTTTTTATCGATGTAAGTAAAGCCTATATCTTGTTTTCCACTGACGAAGGCACTTTGTTGTCGAAACGTCTGGTCTTATTACATTGTTTTTGTATTGTCATTGTCTGTGAGAAAAACTGAATGCCCAAAGCTGAGGTATAAGAATGATGCTCAATCCCCATTTCCCCTTCAACAGGGCGTGAGAGTCTAGGCATTCCTGTGGGGCACGGGCTAACAATGACTATTTCATAATCATTGTGGCCATGAACAATGTTCATGGCTAACCGGTGTTAAAGAATGGCAGTAGATGTTCATTGAACATCTACTGCCATTCTTTAACACCGGTTTCGCTGCACTGAGCGGTGGCCGTCTCGTTTGTTGGATTCTACAGCTGGCTGGCGGAAAGCGTTACCGGCCGCCCGTCCACCGCCCGCGGGCCGGACCGAGCGGCGGTCCCGCTGACCCTACCTGACCTGAGCCCGGCGCGATATGGGACGGGCAGACGGGGGTTCGGCTCAGCGAAGGCAGCGCCCACTGGTGCTGGGGACTTTTTTAATAGACCTACTGTACAAATGTGCTGAAGTTCGTATTACTAAAATAGAGCTGCCTAATGTATTATAATGCTTCTCGAAGTTAAATATAGTTATGTGACAGCTTCCCGATATGTGACAGCTAGTTCCTTGCGAACACTTTGATGGCGTGTCTACTAATGTGATATCATTCCAAAGATTCTGTGCCTTTTATTGTCAATCGGGTCACGTCCGACAAGAGAGTCCTCAGTCGCTGCTCGATAATTGGATAACACCCTAATGAATTCGATTGCACTTAGGTATTGTGTCGTGCCTGGGCAATTAACGAACGAGCGGACGCCGCCTTGCAAGTTGTATTGGCGCTCCCTCAAAACAGGGAGCTGTTATCGTGCTGTCTTTCCAACTTTAATTGCTACTGACAGCTTCGGCAACTTTTATTCCATTGTCTTGACGTATTTGTGGGGCACTGATGGGTTTCTTTTCCAGGTTACGAGTTGTTTAGACCAGTTTCTTAGAGTAACAAATTAATGTACAGTTGTCCTTTATTGCTTTAAATGTAGCAAACACCGACAGTTATAAATGCTGTATGAGATTATCTTCTTCTTTGTGCTGTAGCGATGGTGGAGTGAACTAATCAGTGAAGCATATAATTCTTCTTTGCTACATGTTAAACATGTGGCAGGGTTGTTTTGCTGGTTAAACTATTTTGTTATGACAAAAATATACACCATTGACCTTAGAAAAGCCGTATTGTCGTCTGTTTTATTTCACGCTGGTGCCTGTGCCGTGACTGTGCGCTGCCGGTCGGTTCGCAGGCGAGTACAGCTGCCTGACGGTGGACCTGCTGTTCAAGCGCGAGTTCTCCTACTACCTGATCCAGATTTACGTGCCCTGCTGCATGCTGGTGATCGTGTCGTGGGTGTCGTTCTGGCTGGACCAGAACGCCGTGCCGGCGCGCGTCTCACTGGGCGTCACCACGCTGCTCACCATGGCCACCCAGACGTCCGGCATCAACGCCGCCCTGCCGCCCGTCTCCTACACAAAGGCCATCGACGTGTGGACCGGCGTGTGCCTCATGTTTGTGTTCGGCGCCATGCTCGAGTTCGCGCTGGTCAACTACGCCAGTCGCTCGGACATGCACCGCGAGACGCTGAAGCGGGGCCGCGGCCGGCCGCCGCCGCCGCCGCCCGAGCACGACCACCAGCACACGTCGCTGGGCGAGCTGGGGGACCACGGCGACGACGGACAGACCGCCTACGCCATGGTGAGTGTCGGACGGAGCCGTGAGGGTCGGGAGGGGGGGGGGGCAGTGGGGGTTGAGGGGCATGCCGTGGAGTGGGAAAGGTGGGAAAACGCTCTGCATTGCGGACGATTAATGACCCCTCTTGGTTATTCAGCTTCAACACGCATTCGCTGTTTTTGTACTTGCGGCGCTGCTCATCTATAAGCACTTTATTGCGTCGTTCTAACCAATTTTCGACCAGCTGAAAAGAAGGCGGGGTCTTTAGTTTTATGCTGTATGCACTGGGGCACTTTACTGCTGGATTTGTGTTTCATCTACTTGCGCTTAAAGCAGCTCAGTCTGTAAGAGTACGCTGCGTCACATGCATTTAGAATTGGATTTATTTGACGCAGTAGGTATAAATCAGGCTGTTTTATCACAACACGGGGTAAACATATATTCCGTTTTGTGTCATAGCAGTTGCGAAGAATGATGAACACACTGCCAGTTTACATAATGTATTTGAAGATGCTCTCGACGGTGTAATTTACATATTTAATCTCAGCATCACATACCACGTTAAATATTTGAGATTCTGTGTCTGTACTTTTGAAATCCAGACTCGGCAGTCTAGACAGAAAATCGGAGCAGCGACGTTCATTTCGTTCGTTGCCCTTTGTAATGCAGGACTATGATCATTTAGTTGAACTCAGTTAAAGGGACTATCCCACCTTTAACATGGGTTTGAGTTGAGATAGCCAAGTTTGCGGCGAGGTTCAGAAACCATGATTATCTATCTACACTGTAAAAAAAATTCACTAGCTAATTTTGAAATTAGGCATTTTTTACGAGTGCCTCCCTTGCTCCTCGTTACAACATATATGGACATTAGTAGTCAGAGCCATGCACGTTAACAATGCCGCTTGTGGAACAAATGCCTACGAGCGAGAACATGTTCAGGAACCTAATTTTGCGCAGTGTTAATGAACTACGCACAGCCTCACAGTGTTACCTGCCGTTGGCTTGTTCTCGGCCAGTTTTTAGCGTGTCCCTCAATTAGGTCATTTCGCTATTAGCTCAGCTGACGAGGCCCCGGCTGGCACCTACTAAACGGATAACCTTGCGTGCAACCCCGCTTGTTGTCACGAACGCCTGCAGCTGGTAAACGTGCTGGCAAGCTTGCGTGGTAAGCGGCTTCGGATGGCTATGAGGATGTGCCTCATAGCTATCCTCGTCGCATGTTACAACCTAGGAGTCTGTGGCTGCTTTCAGAAGGAGTCCCCCCCCCCCCCCGCTTCCGGGAGCCGGCGTCCATTTTGTGTTGCGTCGCCATTGCTGTGTGTGTCTGCCCAACTGCTCTTTGGCTTGATTGAAGGTGAGGCATCTTGTATCATTTGCTGTGTGCTCAACAAAAAGGTTGTCCATTTGTAAACAAAAGTTATTATGTTGTTGAGCTTCTTAGAAGATGTATAGTATCGCATAATGTTCCCCGTCGTTGGCAGAAGTGCGCCGGAATCGTCTATCCAAGTCAGAATAGCTATATGTTTGGGACTTAAGCTAGCTTGTGGCAGGAATCTATCACTTTATTCAACTTTAATTTAATCATTTTCCAGATTGGTATGCCTTATGATAATAATAATGTTAATATTCGTTTTTTCACCCATTACAGACTTCTCTGGTGATGAATGGGGCCATGTATGTCCTGGCCTACCTGCACCCCGCGACTGCCGCCGGTGCAGAGCTAATGAAAAAATCACAAATGTTTGATGGTGGTTATTTAAGAAACCTTATTGAAAATTATTCAGTTAGTTGTTGTTGTTGTTGTTGTTGTTGTTGTTGTTGTTGTTGTTGTTGTTGTTGTTGTTGTTGTTGTTGTTGTTAAAGTTATAGTTATTGTCGTGGCGTTGTTATTGTTCTCGTTCTCGTTCTCGTGCCCGAATAAATGTGCTGCAGCGCTACTCAGTCTGTTTACTTGCGGGTGGCGGTCGAGAGTCGGGGGCACTGGTCGACGGAATTCCGTCGACGGAATTCCGTCGACCGTGCCACGACCCCGAAGACCAGTAGTGGTACTAGTTAACTAGTGCCACTACTGGTCTTGAGCTAGTACCATTACTAGTCTTGGGGGCTAGTACCATTACTGGGTATGGATTAGTAGGCAGTGGCTAGTTACCTTACCAGGCAGGGGCTGTTATGACACCTAGTAGACGCACTACCCACGCTATTTACGTGCGTGTTGTCAAACTAGGTGGAGCACGGTGGTCGTATGCATACGAGGCACAGCCTTGTCGAACAAGCTTGTTACTCGGCAACTAGCCTAAAATTAGCCAAATTTACACGCTCCTGCAATGTTATTTTTGCGCTGAGAATTCCTCTACGAGGGGCTTGTAAGTTTTTTTTACAGTGTAGGTTGCAACCCCCGCGGCCTCTTGGTGTTGAAGAAATTCGTTACCTTCATTTGAAAATGGGCCTTGCACAAGGCCCTATCTTCAACATGGAGCGACCGTTAGTGTGACGTCACCTCGTTTAGTCATTCTGATTTAAATGGGTTTGTTCGTTGAAAAATCGCTTAAAACTTGGTCTGAACTTTGTTGTGGTGCCTACAGAGTAAAAGGAATCAGCTTTATGACAGTAATATGGCCTGGGGAAGGAGGAACTTTTGGGCTGTGACGTCACATATTTGAAAGTTTGTGTTTGGAATATGGGAAGCCTAAGATGTTTAATGAAAAATAAATGCCAGAACCGTGTTCCTGGTCATCCAATCTATAAAGTCGGGCACAATTTAACTGGTTTTTACAACATTTTAGAAGGTGGGATAGTCCCTTTAACCACAACGCATTGCTCTCCAGTTTGCTTAATGCTCGCATTATCGATAAGACGAATAAATTCGATTTAAAACCAGTGAAGTGTCTTTCATGGCAAGACATTCGCCGCTCCGCAGGGAAAGTGTCGATCCAATAATGCGATACCGCGATAGTTGAGGCGAAAGACGAAGTTAGTTGGCAAGCATGACGGAAAATCATCACCGAGCAACTCATCTTAGGGTCTCATTAAAAGTTGCCGCCACCGGCCGCGTGTAACCGGTAAAGTTAGTATGACCCAAATAGGCCCGCTCCCAAGCGTACTATATACCGCGGAATTTCCACGATGTTCTGATGAGACGAGGCAAGTGATGGATCTCCACTCTTGTTTATGGAGTTGAAAACTGGGAGCACCAGGCGTGCGCTGCTCGACGCTCAACGACTCTGTTCGGTAGGGGTACTGTGAATTCACATGCACTTGCATATTGCATAGAGATGACTAGGGTAAAGATGCTGAACCTCTGGCTACTGTTTCCATATATAAGTTCTCCGTCGTCGTCCCCATACGCCGCTGTGCCTAGCCACCGTTGTGTCTCCAATGGTCATACATCTGCCATGAGCTGCCGCGTCCCTGATCGATAGGTGGCCGGCGCAGGCTGCCGTTCCCATTACCAGGTGCCTCTCGTGTGGGTGCCGCATATATTTACCGTCATTGTTGGTGTGCATTGTGTGTGTAATGTCGGGAATATTGTGCAGAGGGCAGGTCAGGGGCGCATCGACCCGCCTATAGGAAGGTGGGCCCCAGGGAGTCGTGCGTCGGCCTGCTCTAACGGACCGTGGCATTGTGTTGGATGGGGAAGGGAGAGAGGTCGATACGCCGGCCAAGTGATAGAGAAGGGCACTGGTGGCCGCTCCGAAATTCTGGGGACTCTGTTGTGTGTCAGTTTGGTTTATTATAGTCTGCAGACTGAGGGGTCTGTCTCAGTCTGGCTGGTCTGTCTCAGGCAGTTTGCACCGACTTCGGTAATCCACCAGTACCGACTTTAGTGACCTGACTGTCTTTAGACAAGCTGTCTACAGTCCTCTCTGACCTCCTGTAGACGAGTCTCGGCAGTCTGTATGCGCTGTGTCGACTCGATATCCCGGTGCCCGGTGCGGCACACGTGTCTTCCCGACCTTCCCCGTCCCGGTGCCCCAATATCATCCAGCTCCGGCCGACCGACGATACCATCGGAGATGCGCTGATGACCGCGGTCTCATGCACTGAAAACTTTTTTACCATTTCCTGAAGGGTAAACCCGCCATAGCATGGTAGCTTGACACACAGACGTTTTTTACCACCTTCCAGATGGTAAATTTTACTCTTTCATGAAGAGTAAACTCGCCAGGGAGGGGTAACATGACACACAGACGTTTTTTACCATCTTCTGAATGGTAAACTCTTTTGATTTACTCTTGTCTAGAGTGTAACATTTTTTGGGTTACACTCTTTGAAAGGGTAAATCTTAAACGGAACCCTTTTCTAGGGAGTAACGCATCATCTACTCTGTGCTTTACCCTCCTACAGAGAGTATATTCTTCTGGCCTACCCTTTGTCACATGGTAATGTTTACTCTTTCCTTTAGTGTAAACCCCCCAGAGGATGGTAACAGACTCACAGACGCTTGCTTCAGAAGCTTCACGAAGCTTCTGTTAACCGGAGCTCACCAACTAAAAAAAAAAACATGCTTCAAGAGCAACAATGTATATTTGGCTTCCGTACAAACAATACGAGGGGCACACCAGCCATGATCATTGTGAGACTATTCACTTATGCATACGAATTTATACGAAGCGTTCAGCAATGCACAAGCGGTAAATAAACACCACGATACAACTTGAATGCACTTTGAATGTGAATACAAGACATTCAGCGCCCTCAAATTGGATAAGGCACAGCGCACAATATTTGAAGAGAGCGACGGCGTTCCTGGGTGGTCGCCCGTCTGCGTGAGATAATGAGACTGGATCACTACAGTGCAAGGCTTTTTCAAAGTCACCAACAAAATGCATAAACTTGTAGCATCACAACAAAATTAATGTACGTACTCACAATCTAGGCCACGTGGCCGTGCACGGGGTCCTGTTAACCAGGTCAAATTAGCACCACTCAACGGCATGCAATGCTCTAGCACATCGGTACTTACAATAAAATGTCCACAGAGGCTCTATAGGCGATGAACAACACGCAAGCACAATCACCAA